CCTGATTCTAAATATTGATAGAGGTTGAGAAACCTCTGAGAATGTTGCTAATCACTTCATCCTCTAAGATGTGTGTCTAATCTTCCCATCGCCCTTAGGCGCAGGTGTGACCCTTCACATCTTCCAAGTGGGTCTAAGAAGATCTGAGAAGAGAAATGATCTGCTCAATTTCACCTAGCCAGCTAGGGGCAGAGCTGGAATTTCAATCCAGATTTTTTTTCCAAGATTTTATTGTGGAATTGGGGAAAAGGAACAGCCAAGTTGCTGTCCTTCAATCTTAGTTGTGGAGGGCTCAGCTAGCTCAACTCCAAGTCCAACCACCATCTGGCCACTCATCGGCAGCTCACGGCTGCTCAGCTCAAGGTGCCGTGTTCAATCTTAGTTGTAGGTGAGCGTAGCCCACCACCCCATGCGAGAGTCAAATTGGCAACCTTGTTGTTAGGAGCATGTGCTCTCACCAGCTGAACCATCCTGCCACCTGTTGGCAGCTCAGCGGCAGCTCAGCTTGGGTGCAGCTCACTGGCCCTTTGGAAATCGAACTTACGACCCTGTTGTTCAGAGCTCGCACTCTTAACCAACTGAGCCACTCGGCCAGACCCCGGGTCCTCATTTTAAACTGTGTGGACCATGATTCTGATTAATTAGGGTGGGATGTGATGTTCGAAAGCCATTTATATATTAAATAGTCAGCAGAGCTGGGATTCAAATCCAGATCAAGCTGGCTCAGGATATCATCTCTCTCTGGTTCTAACCGTATTATCTTTACATCCCTGGAGGACCGTAAGCCCACCCCTGGCTTCACACCCATGACCCCAGACCACTCACAGGCCACAGTCAGATAGATCTGTTCACTTCTTTGAGGAAACCCTAGGATGTTTTCCAGCGCACACTGAAGTATCGTGTCGTAGCGGCTGACCTTGTGAATGATGAGGGTCTTGCCATCTGAGGAAATTGTCATCAGGTCATTGCTGAACACCAGTATGCCATCCACATACCACGTGATATTAGTGGCATTGGTGTGGCAGAAGGCGGCCACAGCATCCATGTACTCAACCACAGAGGTGGTGTTGGTTGAGATGCCTGGGTTGCTTTCCTTTTCTGAGTGAAGCAGGAGAGGATCAGAGGTAGGGTCTGCCTCTTCAAGCTCTGCTTATCTCTGAGGGGGTGGTTTTGGGGGTATTTTGGGGAGAAACCAAGAGTTGTAAAATTAGGTCTGGGGTCTT